ACAGGTCTACGTTTGTTCATTGTAGATCGTTTGAGAGATTCCATGACGTTTAATCGTTTTGAATGAGAATTAGACAGGATAGGAGATCGCGGGTCGACTACAGTGATCGATTTCGAATGGTTGTGCGTCGAGAGTAAGGTTCCAAATAGTCTTGAAAGAGTTGAGGATGGTTTTTTCTTGTTGGATTTCACTTCGCTGGATTGAGGACTGGGTGGGGTTTGAGACTTGTGAGGTGATGAGGATGATGTGGTCCTCATCGAATCAGTTTGACTGCTTCCTACCTGTAAGACACTCTTCCTAAACGGATCTCGTTCTTCTTGAACAACTTTCTTAGGTGACAAAACTTTTGATTTGTTTTCTTTTTCTTTTTCGTTTGAAGAAGTACCACTACTGATCGGATTAAACCAAATCGATCGTCTTCGTTCTGGTATATTCAATCGGATCCGTTCACTCTCAATTAACTCTTTTTTGATCTTTCGTTGTTCTGCTTTTATTAGTTTTTGTCTTGATTTAGAACTCAGACTTGGAACTGGTGGTGGTCTTTCACTTGGATCTTGTTCACTTTCTGATAAGTTTACAGTAGGTGTTGAAGCTGACCGAAGGGCTACAAAAAAGTCGCGCAGGAATAGATGGATGGATGATGAATTTGAGAAGTTGAAGGTTGTAGAGTTAAAAAAGACTCACGTGATGGACGATGTACTTGTGCTAGGGGTGATCCACTACCTAGTAATCTACGTGATTGGGGTTGAGGTGATAGGGTACGTTGTTGAGGAAGTGGTGAGGTAGCATTAGAAGCTATTGAAGACTAAGTAACAAGAATCAAGAAAAGATGAGCCATGCAATCAGATCTCAAGAAAGAAAAAGATACTCACAGCAACACTTTGACGACGACTACGAGCATGAGGAGCCGTAGCAAAAGAAGTTCGAGAGGATGCATGATGAAGACTTTGACGATTAGAGGACATACTTCTTCTAGCCTCAAGTTTCCTTCTTCGAAGTAATTCAGCTTCATGATCAGGATCAAAAGGTAAGTGTTGTTGAGAAGGAGTAGGAGAAGGGTTATGGATCGAATGATGACGTGAGACCGGTCGATTAGATTGGAGTGAGAGATTAGAAGAAGAAGAGATTAAAGCATTGGCAGAATGGTAAGGAGATGAATAGGATTGACCGAGTGAATCGATAATCTGTGAGGAAGTAAGAATGAGATTAGTGAGATGAAGAAGAAGTTAGATGAAGTTGGATAGAGTACTGACAGTGGTAGTCTTGAAGTTAGAGATCTGATGAAGTGAAGGATCTACAAGGTTCAAATGTGAATTAGATCTACCCATCAGTTGCTGATGTAATCGTTGTTCTGGAGTAATGCTGCTGCTGTTCATTGGATTAGAAGTTGACATCTTGGTTTAATCGAAATTGAAATTGATAAGTTCAAAGAAAAGTTGGTTTGTAAAAGAATGAAAATTGGATAAGAACTTCAAGTGTAGATCGATTGGTGAGTTGGTTGGTTGAGAAAGAGAAAAATCAGAAAATCAAGAGAAAGAAAACAAGTGATAAGACTGTATTGAAAATTGAAAATCACTCTTTAGTCAAAATTAAAATCAATCTCATTCAATCAATAGAGACGAGGCGCGGATTCCGTGGTTCGCGCTCGTTATTAGTATGGTAAAGCACTTTTAAAGTGATTTTTTACTTTGGGATCTGCGGGTGATCGTGGATGATCTCACTTAGAGTACATGTGACATGCTACAGCATGTCACACCCCTACCTATCTAAAACCATGCCTAGGTATCGAGATGTCCAATGATTGACAGCTCAGCGTCAATGCTGAGCTTGTTCTCTGAACGGATGTTCTCTAACGGATCAGATCCCCTGTATACCGATTCCATCTTCCTTCCTCTCAGTTCACCAATTACAAGTCGATTTCGTCAACATGGAAGACAACCACTTAATATTTCAACCAAATGGACTCCCGGTCAGGTCTCCAGCCCTGCGTCATTCGCACGACTTGCTCCTCTGGTGGTATCTATATGAATTAGAAGAACTTCGTGAAATTCTCCAATACTTGCACGAAATCGAACGGCGAGGAGGTGACCCACTTCCCGACTTATCGAGTCGACGAGTCAACGTTGCAACCTGGCACCCGCACATCAGCAAGCTCACAACTCGATTCTACCCTGACGAAATCTTGGAAATTCACCACTGGGGTGGTTTTCCGGATTCGATTGTACTTCCGAATCGGGCTAAGGAGGTTGGTACCACCGCCCTCGCCATCTACATGGCTCGATTGGCCACCCCTTCCCGTTATTTCGATCTTTCGCAAATCTTTGGGCGTGATATCTCCACTATCGGTCGAATATGCCGCTGGGTGCAAGGATGGATCTATGAGAACTGGGGTCCCTTGTTAAGATGGAATGCCCGCCGCTTTACACCTGCCGTGTTAGAAGGGTTTGCCGCATCGTTAGTGGAGTCCAGGAATTGCCCAATGGATAATTGCGTGGGTTTCCTAGATGGTAAGTTCGAGTTTGATTGGTCAAAGCCTTTAGGTGTCTGGGTGTCTCATGACTGGTTACGTTCATCGCAGGCACGGTATGGCGCATGGCACGACCGAAGTACAACCAACGTGCTTTTTACAACGGCCACAAGCGAGTTCATAGTCTTAAATATCAGGCTGTGGTGACACCCGAGTAGGTGGGGTTTTGTAACTTTGATATAAGTGGGTTAGCTCACAGTGCGGCTTGTTCATCTCTTAGTGGTATCACCGCAGATTTAACAGAGGCGTACATTGGTTCACGCCACGATACAGCAATCTTGAGGATGTCAGGCTTAACCGAGGTCTTAGAACGTGATGCAAAAGGGTTTGAAGGTCAACAAATGATGTTGTACGGTGACCAAGGGTATCAAAATTCTGCAGTCATGCTGACACCCTATGCAGGTGTCAATCTCAATGATGACCAAGCTCATTTTAATCATGTCATGTCAAGCGTTCGGGTTGCAGTCAAACACGAATTTGGACGCCTGTGGAATATTTTCCGCATGACGCAGTATAAAGGTATGTGGCTCTTTCATATGTGAATCATAGTAAAATTTTAAGAACGAGTTGAGTGGTTGACTGACTTTTTGGTTTTGATTGTTAGACAACCTGAGGTTTTATGTCAACGATCTAAACTCTTTTTACCACTGTGCTGTGATATTGAAAAATTTGTTGATATGTTGTGGTCGAGGCACGATAGGGGGCGTTGCAGCTCCACCAAGCTTGGAAGTGTATCTGGGTGCCCGACATCTGGGTGCAGCTCAGGATGTTTGAGCAGTCCATTGAATTGTTTCCTAACGTGTTCAATCCTGTGTCTGTATGTCAAATTTGTAAATGTGGATCGGTGTCTCAATTTATTATATTATATTATATTGAATCATGTTATATCTTGAGTCAAGTCAAATTAGATATGACATCTGTTGATCGGTTCATTCCCCAAATTAGCTACCAGTGAGAATCGAGGACTCAAAACCAAAACGATATTTTGGTTGTAAGTGATCCAGATGACACATAATCATAAGGCCCTCAAATCCTTACACAAATGAACAACGTGATCATTATTTTGTGAATACATATCAAGACGAGTTGATCATAGCTCATTCATGTCAACCGTCAGGGATGGGCACATTCGGTGGTTTTCACAAAGAAGGAGTAACATTTTGTTTGATTGGTTAAGACATAATCGTGTTTCAAAATACAAGAAATAAAGAAATAGATTGACAACATAATAGATATCGAGAAGTCATGTGTGATCAGAGTGCGGGTGAAAATCAATTTCCACCAATGACTTGAATTAAACATTGGGTTGTGATAGTAATGGAGAAAATGGAAATCAAAGCCATGGGTTGAAAGGTCTTAGGCTGAGCGGATTTCAACAAACGATTATCAAGGTGGTGTTGAGCCAAATTACAAGACAATCAGGCCTAAAACCCTCAGCAAAGGCTAGAATGATCCCATGAGTTTGTCAGAACTCGCCGTTTTGTATAATTTCATAAAGAAGTGAAACCGTGAAAAACGTACCATCTTGAAATTTCAGGTGGCGCTGCTAGCAGTTGGAAATCGGTCGGCTAACGATTTGAGGACTGATCCCAAATCGGAAAGTGACCCTTGGACACTTACCATTGATGACTTTAGGTCATCAATCTGGTGATCATTTTTTTCCTTATGATCACGAGCATCCTGGAGCTCTTCCCGTCGCAAGGCAATAGTCGCATGAGCCGTCTCCGAGTCAAGGTCAAGGCGAGCTTGAGTTTGAGCCAGCTCGCGCTCGCGCTGGAGGTTGATCACCTTCGTCTGTTCCAGGTGGCGATCGAGGGCAACTAAGGTGAGATCGTTTGCCTTTTCGGCAGCTTGACTACTTTTGATAGAAACATCGATGATCTGACTACCAACACTGTCGTCCCCTGCTAACTTCTTACTCAAAGTAGCACGTATACCCTTCATTGAATTGGTAGGCCGGTTAGTAGTACAAGCCTCCCCCTCATCGGAGTCATCATCTTCGTCCTGGTCGTTTTTGGCCTGAGGCGGTGCTGATCAAGGCCTGAGAGCACGTTGGTCACGTAGCTCATTGGCTCGAGCAATGGCCTTGGTGGCTGCGGCTTTGGCCGCTTTGGCCTCTTGAACCGTGTCGATCAACTCCTAGGTGATGGACACATCAGATACACAATATCTCATTCAACAGAGGATGCGGGATTTCATAGACACTAGAATTCATATACTGACCTCTTCTTGTTCAGCAAGGATTTGAATCAACTCGCGCAGTTTTTGATCAGTCTCGTGGGTGCCACTTGCGCGCAAGCTTGTTGCTTCAACTTGCTTCAGCCAAGTCTTGGATAAGTAGTCGTACCGATTCCTCAAGGTGGTGGTTTTTGGGTTTTCAGACAGATTATCAAACATTTGACCGGCTTCAGGGAGTTTCTAAATGCGGTCAAGTTACATAAATCAATTGAAATGAAACTAAATCCAATGTGAGTCACATGATATAACTTGCCTTGATATAAACTGTACATTTATGAAATCGGTCGTTCTGCTCTTTTTGAACCGCAAAAGGCCGGAATTTAATCAATTGGGTGAGCCAGATTACGTCGATTTTCCCCGGAGATGGCCAACGCATGCGGCTAGGAGTTGCTGTTTTATTGTCTGAAGGAGTGGTTGAAGTCGAGGTGTTTGGTGGTTGAGGTGGAGTGAGATTTGAAGACATGGTTGATGGATGATCAGGTGTAATTATACCCGGCAGCACCGAGAACCCCGGTCTGGAGGCAGGGCCTGAGTCCGTTGGATTGTTCGATAGCCCAGTAGAAGTGGCACCTTGATGTTGATTGGGTTGATTTGGAATCACTGGAGCAGTAGGACGTTGAAGGTCGTGAGTTTGACCCACCTGATTGATATTAGGTGGGTCAAGATCCATACGGTTTGTGCCTCGTGGGCCCACCAGCTGCTCGTGAGGTAAGTGTGAGAAACCTTGCCCAGATGGGTCAGAAGATGGTGAAAGTCGTCCAAATGGCCGATGTTGGATAGTAGGTATGACATTCGGGACTATCAAAGCCACTTGATCAGTAAGAGGATGTGCTGTAGAAACTGGAGTTTGCATTGTAAGCAAACCTTTTGATTGACCATGTTTAGACCGGCCAGATTGGTCCAGATTGACTTTCTGGGATCCATCACATCGTCTTCGAGTGAGTGGTACATCCACAAGATCACCTCGAGCGGTTACTGGAGAGATCTTCCGGATCAGGTGATTTTTGCTACCAACACTATTTGCTGGGGTTGATGAAGGAGTCGTGGTTGAAATCGAAGATGAAGAAGCAGGACCGGCATGTCTGCGAGCTGAGCACAATCGCACAGCTTTGCCCACTCAAACCAAACAAGTTTCAGATCAAGCAATTATCATCAATCAGCGTCATTAAACTCACCTGAAGGACCTGGGGGAACATTATCATCCTCCGAATCCACCAAAAGATCTCGCATACACTCGTCTTCCCCTGAAGATGAATGAGGTCTATCTTGTCGAGCAACATCCAGATCATATCGGGCTGAAGCTCGAAGATCACGAGATGGTGTGACACCATCTCGCAACCATGGAAGCGGATCAGATCGATGATCCAATCCATTCAACGCCCTCGCAGCATGACACACTCCGTTGAAGGAGGCTGCCAACCTGTCATTTGAGAGAACTCTTGTTGAGCGCCAGTTGACCATACTATCGTAGTCTGCAGCTGACCGCCAGGTCGGATGAGATAGGTCGTGCCTGAACGTATGCGCCGGAAGCTGGCCAGGCCTATGGAGAGAGTCAAAGAAATGTTTGAGCCATCAACCCGCCAGGAGGCGTGATCGAAACACTCACGTGGGCTCGCTGGGCACCCACACGCCCCCCGTAGGTGGCTGCGTGTTGCGACCAGCGTGAAACAATGATTGGTTAGATGGTAGCTCTTCCTGCGCAACACTTCTTTGAACGAAATAAACTTACCAATTGAGGAAGTGGAGCACAAGGTTTGGCACTGCCTTCTATATCTTGCACGGCAGAGACGGTTGAAGGCACGACAGGACAGCCGAGTTTCTGTGCAGATGTCCATGCCCAATTGATGTCAGAAAAAGCCCACCAAAATCTAAAGATCAAGTGTAACAAGACCGAATCGCAGCAAATCACTCACAGGGGAGAATGGCCTGGTTCCATTGCGTTCAAACTCGATAGAACCAAATGTCACGTTGTTTCCAAGACCAACTGAAGCGCCGCCATTTAAACCAACATTGGGCGAGTTGATATGAGGCAAAGCAGGGGAATTGGCCCCTGAATGCGGACCGGCGTTACCAGACTGGTGGCATGTAGATATGAGCAATTAGGCGCAGAACTTTCATAAGATCACGCATAACCCATATCAAACAACATAACTCACCTGAACAGGCAAGGTGTTGGTCACGTTCAGGCCGGTCATGGGTGACCAATTAGCTTGAGAGTTCGGGTTAGACATTTTTAACTTTACTGAGAATACCATTTAAACCTTCAGTTATTCCTAATGCTTTGGAACGATGAAATGGAGAGCAGCAACCCACTGGAATGTAAATAAGATTTTTGTTGATAGCTACAGGCAAGGATGTGAGCTTTGAATTTTCCACCGAAATATTTAATCAAACCAGAGAAAAAACACTAACCACACCGATATATATTTGAAAGTTTTCGAAATTTTCAGATAGCTACGGAGAAAGATGTAAGCTGAAAAAATCACCACAAAATCACCACCTCAACCAGAAAAGAAACTAACCACACAGATACGGAATTCAAGATTCTGCTTGAGGGGAACTGATGTCAATTGGGCTCCATATATATACATATGTCCATTACCACCCCCGTGACCTTTCACAGAAAGGGTTTTTCAAAAGCCATAGCTATTCGCTGTGAATGAAACTCACGAAGGTCATCCGGAGCAGCCAAATTACACGAAAGTGCAACAAAGATCAAGTTTGAGAGGTGAGATTCTCAAATGATAGACGAAAATGTCCTCAAATAGTAAGAAAATCAGGAGGCCCAAAAATGGACCTTCTCGATTGCGTACTATGCAATGCGATGATTCTGAAGTAAGCCACAGAGCTTCATCAGACACTCATAACAAAAGATTGGAAAAATTCTTGCCTCACTGAAACTAAGTGAGGTACGACGAGAAGAATCCAAGTGAGTTGCTAATCCAATTATATATAGCGTCTCAAATGGTACAATAAGCCAAATCTGGTACTCAAATGAGAACAATCGTGAAAAACGACTTGTTTTAGTACTACACAGACCACGGAATCCGCGCCTCGTCTCTAATCAATTCCTTCTCAATCACTTCGACCAACTTATCACTTCACACCCAATACTCAATAAATAGATAGTAGCTCAAATTAAAATTAAAATTCTTGAGAAAACAATCAGTCAATCTTATAATCTACATAATCAAAAAGAGTAGCAGCTATTCGTAAAGTCTGTCGTCCTTTTTGTGAAATGGGTCAGTCGATTTTTCTTTTTGTCTTTACACTCACCTTTGAATCTTGATAAACCAAACCTAGATCCGTTTCAAGTTTTGTAAACCAACTTAAACAGATCCAAAAAAAAAGAAACCACGCTTGAAGTTTTATATAGATATATATGTACTTTGAATGAAACTTGAAGAAAAACCTTAAAGTAAAGTGTATTGTATGTGATTATAGAAAGATTAAAGATGAAGAAAATTAAATGAAATCAAAGGTTTTTGGAAGTGGATTGGTAAAGCAGAAGGAAATGAAGAAGAAATGGTCAAGAAGAAGATCAAAACCATTTTGTTTGATTTTTTCATTCAAACGTTAATCTGGAGTAAGCATTTGATTTTGATTTTGATTTTGATTTTGATTTCAGAATTCTTCTTCTTATGATGAACCAAGTGAAAAACCTGATCGATTTGAAAAAAATCCTACATATCACCAAGTCAGCCAGAGTCAAATCCAAAGCCAAATATAAAGTATATTGATCATCACTTGATTTGGTTGAGATCGACTATCACAGCATACTAAAGAAGGATAAACCATTGAAAAGATTTAAACTGCGCAAGAGGTTTAAAGATTCTCTCCATTGATAAAGTGAAATTCGAAATCCCAAACATTTCATTCCTATTTAAAGACCACAAGTTCAATCGCCCATTACTTAAAAAGACTTAGGAGAGAAACTAAACTCGGTTGAAATGGAAAACCATTTTATTAGAAAGAGTTTGAATGGACAAGTAAATCGTATTGAGGACAACCTTTGGAGGTTAGCCAAGAGGATGATCAGTTCCATAAGCTTTTTAAGAAATTGTAAACTTATTTACTTGTTTACCATCTTACTAAAACCATTACTTTTCTGAACCATAAATAATTCTTCATAACAATAAGAATTTATTCGGTTCTGGAAAGTTTTCTTTTTTAATGATCATCAGAGGCTGAGCTAAAAATCCGGTGGAATGAAAACTCATGAAGTTTGCTTTTTAAATTCAAACTGAACTTGATTGGATTGGTTAGTTGAGCCTGTCTTCTTTAACAGATATGTGATTTATCATTCGAATGGTTTGTAAATTGTACATTGTACCAAGAAGACCTGCGATCTGGGGTTTTTCAACTAAACTTAAATTGGTTTAAATCAAGTGTGTTGAGCAAATCTTTGTATCTTCAAAAATTAATTTCAATGTTTATAATCTTGTACGTTCCTGAAAATGTGTATAGAATTCAATCAGGTAAAAGATCTTGAGTGCTTAAACTTCATCAAAAAGTCAAAGTCTTACAAAGATAAAATTTAGAAACCCCATTCGAAAAGAAAAAAAGTTAATCGTTTGTATAGATGATATAGTAACAAAGAATCCAAAAATTATCAAAAGTCATACAAAGATATAAAGTAAAGAAGTAAAAAAACTACAAAGGTTACAGAAAAAGGTTTAACGAATTAAATCAAAATGATAAGATGGAAAACAGATCGGTTTGAGAAAAGATAAGAAATGCAAAACAAAAACGATAGCAACAGAAGAAGAAAGAGAAACCGGTTTCAATACAAAAAAAAGTTTAATGTTTTGTTTGCAGAAAGATTTATCTTTGAATTTAATATGAAAATAATTGATGAGCCTTCATAGAGATAAATAATAATAAATAAGTTCAAATGAATAAATCAAAACCTAAACTGTTCATAACAACTTCAATAATACTCAATTTCAAGCTAGCTCACAAAAAAAACCAAAGGAAAAGCAATAAAATCAACCTTTAGTAATCGTATTGACCATTCAATGAAAAAAAGGAAAGAAAAGAAAAGCAACTCACGAATAAGAAAGCGACCTTACGAGGATGTAAAAGGTTTAAACCTACTGGGTTCAATAAACTTTGATTAACTAATTCTAAGGTACGTGTGAACCTGATCATTTCCTTTCCAAAAAGAAAACAACACAATCTAAGTAAGTTTTTTGATGTTCTTTCCTTTGATGTTCTTTTCTTTAATGTTCTTTTCTTTGATTTTCTCTCTGATGATTTTTGATTTGATTTGGTTGGGAAGGCAAAGGAATGAAAATAATTGACTTACTTTTTTGTAATGAGGAGTAATAATCAAAGGTAAAAGATACAAACTCAAAACCGAAAACGTATTATCTAAAATCGATTTATAAGGATCATAAGCCGATGCTAAGATCCCATTCAAATCATTCAAAGTGTTTTGTAATTGAAGTGGAGTAATCTACCCAAACCCCAAAAAAGCAACCAAAAAAACCAAAAAAACCAAAAAAAAAAAAAAAAGGAGAGATGGTTTTTAGAAACTTAATTAAAAGGAACAAGAAAAACCACTTACTCTTCCTTCAAGTTCAGTAACCCATCCATCCCAAAACTGAACTCGTCCACTAGTCGCACCTTTTGCAGAATAATCTCGTTCGATTCTTACAATTGCTCTTGGTTTGGTTTTGCCTATGATTCCTATGGGTGAGGTTCCAAAGATTTCAATCGGTTCTTGGTCTTCTTCTTCTTCGGCTTCTTGGGCTGGGTTTTCTTCGATTATGTCTTGCGGTTGGGGTTGGTGAGGGGTTTGGGTTTGGTGGGAATCGGTTGGGTTCATTGGGTTTGAGGATGGGTTGAGGGATGTGGTTGGGTTGTGTGAAGGAACTTGATGATTGGAATCTGATGATGATGATGATGATGATAGATTAGATTGATGAAATGAAGAAGGATTGTTGAGTTTGATTGAAAGAGTTGAAGTCGATGGTTCATGGGATGGATCGATTTGTTTCATTGAGATTGGATTTGTTGTGGTTGAAGTGTTTGTTGTTGAAGTTGATGGTGGGTTGGTTAGTTTTAGTTGAGGTAATCCCATCTTGTTGAGAAGTCGAGAACTCTGAGTGGATTTGATAGAAAACTTTAAACTTTAATCTTTATGATTGGTGGGAAGAAGTTTGAGGCTGAAAATTCAGAGTTTGGGTTTAATTACTGGGGTTTCTGCTGTTTAAATGTAGTTTAGTTTAATCCAGTCTGACTATCTCTCTCAAAACTCATTATCAAGATTATTAAAATCCATGTCTTCACTCAAGAATTCGATAAATCAAGCTACAAACTACACAATCACTATCTTTCAATGAAGTCCATTCTCCTGGAGAATAACAAGTATGTATACACATCAAATTGATATCCTTCACCAACCTAACTAGTCTCATCAAGATAAAAGACTTCAAACCCATGACCAACATTTCCCAAACTTAATTCATCATTACAAACTAACCCAAACCAAAAAAACCATAAAAACAATAAATACAATCATAAAAAAATCAAACGATTTCTTAACCCATTCTTGGTTCTGTTTCTTCATACCCAAAAAGACAAAAAAAATACAAGATTTGTTTAAGAAATGGGTTATGAGTTAAATGTATTTTTAATATGAGTTCTTAGAGCTGAAAACCCATCTAATTTGAACTCTGGATGACTCAAGATCTTCGGAAGTCTTGATGATTCTTCATGCCTATCAAAAAAAATCACAAGTCATTGAGAATGAACCGAACCGAACCGGAAAAGAAAATGGTGCAAGAACAGTGACTTACAAAAGATTAGCTCTTTGGTTTAGATTAGGAGATTTTTTAGATTTAGGTTTGGTTGATGATGATTTGTTTTGGTTTGATGGTTTGGTACTACTGCAAATAGTAGGTTCGATATATGTATTTAATTCATTTAAGGCTGTTTTTACTGATTCTAGGTTTCCGATTTTTCCAATTTCTTTGGATTTCTTTTTGATTCGCTTTTGGTGGGATTTTGAATACGGTTTTGGTACTAAAAAACAAAAAATCAAAGAAAAAAATCAGTAGGATATTGGATGGGGGTTTTGGAGGGGGTGACTTTTACCTTGTCGGATCTCTTGGATTCTTTTTTGTCTTTTTTCATCTAGTGGTAAAACGGTTCTATCTTTTGTTGGTTTAGGATTATTAAATTCTTTTAAAATCGTATTCGCCTTTATCAAAAAATCAAAAAATTAGAAATGAGTTTGATACATTGGTTGAAAATCTAGTGAACAGAAACCGGTTTCTTTTGTTTTGGTTTAACTCACAGATAAATTTTCAAATTCTTTAATATCTTTTAAGGTTTCACAATGTGTTTCTGGGGTTGAGAATTGTCTATTAATGATTGAAGTTGATGGTTTAGTTGAAGTCGAAGATAACCGATTAGCGTGTTTTGATCTCATCACTTTTGGCTTCAAGAAATTCACAATCAGTTTATGAAGTTTTACTAAAAAAATATAATCAATTTTATTTTGCTTACCATCTTGGATGAATTGATTGGGTTTGAGTCGCAAGTGATGATGATGAACTCTTTTCGTGTTGGATGCGTTTGATAATTTTCACTTCACACTTTTTTGGCTTGAGTTTACGATTTCAGGTTGCATATATGTCACGCACTGGGACATGTAGAATCGGGTCGGGCAGTGTGACATTTCAAAGAGCACTTTTCCAGTGTGGCATGCCGCATGGGTTTTTTCATGGTCATCATGGAATCATACACAAGTATACTATAGCTCAGCAGCTCAGCATTTGGAACCAGAACAGATTAGAATTAGATACATTATCTTTCATGAGCTTGATTAGCTATTAGACTTGATCATGATCCGAATAACAACCTTAGAGTGAATGAACGTATTCCAATAGCTTGCAAGAATAGATAATTCTTCTAAACCTCATTCATTATCATATCACGACGTAAGCACTCACATCCTGATGTTCTCTAGCTAAAGTCTCTGAACCCATAAAGATTCTCGTCTCGCTCGGGTTTAAAATCTATTGCTGAAACCCCAGTTCACCTCATCATCATGCGCGTCATCGAGATGCAGATACATAAAGATAGTTTACATAATCATTTGCGGAAGTATCGTCATTGGAGTGTCTCATTAGGTGTAATGGAAATGGATCGTTATTTCGAATGAAGATCAGGAGGAGGAAAGCATGTTCTCCATCCGGTTGCTGCGATTTTTGGTTACTATATGTATACCGAGTTGGTTGGACTTCAACTATAACTTGATTTACGCATAAATATTTTACATCCGATTTTTTTATACCTTCATTTTTAGAAACGTTTTTTTTAAAGTTGACCAACTATTTATCAAGATTTATTTGATCATGATGAGGAATTCTTTCAAGTTAAAGTTGAGAAACATGTTTCTTTTATGGACCATCATCAATATGAATTTTTGGGTCAAAGGAGCACCTGCTTTGACAAAAGTTGGAAACCATATTACTGAAGAAACCAAGATTGTTAAAGATCCTGATCATACGGATAACCGTACGTATATTCAACTTATTCTCAACATGTCTGTTTATCAACATCAACTTATCTCTTGTATATCTCGTGACTAAAACAGTGCTTAAGCATGTTCAACTTCAATCAGCCAATGCGGTAAATAGGATCGAAGATGGTAAAATCTTTCACATACTTTTTCTTCGTATAATATCTTAAATCGGGTTTTTTTGAATCTTCATAGGTACAAACCTTGGACGTTCTACGGATCTTGGTAATGTAAGAGCAAGTTCTGAAGACCCAAAAGTTGTGGATAATTCTCAAACGAATGGAATGGAAATGAAAGATCGGTTAATGGAATCCTTTTCAGATAAAGAAGAAATTATGGATTTAAAATATTTGAGGGTCATTGATCTAGATCCGATTTTTAAATCTCATAAACTTTTTGATTGGAATGTGAAATTTCTCAAACCATCACAACTCAAGTACCTTTCAACTGATGAGACGATCAGATACGTAGCAGAAAGAGATACGATTTTATCAAAGGAGGTGATGAAGTTGTATAAGATTGGAAAAGAATACGAACGAGCTGAAGAAAATGCATTCGGCTTGGCTATAGATGGTAAGGATGGTGAGGGGGTAGTGAAGGGAATGGAACGGGATTTGTTGGAGCGTGGAAGGTCTGGAAAAGATGCTAAGATGGTTTCTAGGATCACTTGGATTTATTCCAAGTTGAAAACAAACCCGTCAACTGGTTTAGAACAAGCTGTTCAAAAACTTCAGGAGGCTCGAAAGTCTTACCTTGAAGTTTATCGCCATACCGTTCATCATATCATTAACTCTGTTTTATGGGACCGATTCACATCGGGAGAAATCTTGAAGCTTACCGATAAGCAGTATGTGAGAAAGGCAGCATTATATGACAAAGATACAAATAAAAATCATGGCCAATGGTTGAAGAATGAAAAAAGTTTACGTGAACTAGTCAAAAGCACTCGATCAAAATTGTCGCCTACATTTATTCGAGATGGTGAACAGATACTCAAGAGTAAGATAGATGAGACATACTCAAAATTGATAAAAGAATTAAAACTTAAAGGAAAAGAGATTGATGAGATAAGTATACAGGATCTTGCTGAGAGGGAAATTATTAAAAAAGAAGCAAAGGGTTCAGAGTATCAAGAGTTTCATCACGTTGGTATTAGGGAGATTGAGAGATTGGAAAAAATCACTGAGAAATTCAAGAGATTGGCTTTGAGAAGTGCTGATAAGTTTTATAAAGGTCTTGGGGTTTTGAAATCGTCAGGTAAGAATTGATTGCTTTTTGATCAAGAATTGTTTTTTTACGAAAGATTATGTACTAATTTTAACCTTTGAATGAATCAAATTCTTGAAGAGTTGAAATACAAAGCTTGGTCATTTAGAAAGTTTTTTAAAGGATGGAGATATAAGGGTTGGACATTGACAAACTTCTTTAAAAGGTTGTTTCCTTGGTTTTTTTAGAGTCACTTTTTGCAATGCACCTTACCGTAGATGTACACGATGAAATGGTGAACAGTCAGTGTTCAAAGGGGATGTGAACACCATCGAGTCACTTAAAGCTACAATGGATAACATTGATCTTTGCAGTACTGCTTGCAATTGTCCTCTTTTCTTTAGTCTGCTGGCCAAAGTACTGGTCAATGTGGTAGGGAAAAGATTAGAATGGTTCCTTTATATCTGAACCGTACATCATAGCCTTCTAGATGCCTACTTCTGGACTCTCTGTCTTGTTAGGGCCATCCGGGCTCAATACTTCTTTGACACTTTGACACTCTGCCACCCCGCGCAGGCGCAGCTTTGACTCAATTCCAGAGTGCAAAGTAGGTGCCTCTTTGATGAGACGACAAGACGTATCTATCAGTGAAACGCCAACTCGCGTCGTGCGCAATCGAAGAGATTGTTTACATCTGTCCAAGCGACATCGCTGGTTTTTCTCATCAGCTGTAGCGACGATGAATGGCAAGTTTCAATGAAGGTGACGAGGAAAATGAGAATTTAGTTCACCCCTTTGGCTGCGAATCCGATCGGCTGCCAACTTGTACAGTCAGTGACAAAAAGTTTACGTACCTCGACTACATATGTAATAGTTAAGCTTAACTAAGCCCCTCACGAGCGCGTTCGCCGCGCCCTCGAAGAGGGGCTTACATCGGACTCGCGATTTCTGGCGTGTGAGCTCCAAGAATTATGTCTTCTTATGTTGTTTTCTTCACGTCTCCGCTTCACCTCACCGTAGAAAATGCAATACTTCGAGTATGTCCTTCTTCATGAAATGGTACACAACCTCATATGAGTTTCATGAGCAAAAGACAGACCTGCACAGCTTGAGCAATGTGTTAAAAGCACCAAAAATGGCCCTTAGGTCCTCTTGTAAATGGCCTAAGACCACCTAAAACACCACGTATGAAATTTCAAAGCACCAAATCCCTAATGTTACATCACAAATTCAGAGCCCTTCTTTTCAGTTTACGGCAATGTGTTTGATACCAAAATATGTACCATATCCTAAAGAAAGATATACCAGAAGCTTTGCATTTTCTACGGTGAGGTGAAGCGGAGAAGTAAGAAAAACAACATAAGGGGACTTAATTCTTGGAGCTCACACGCCAGAAATTGCGAGTCCGATGTAAGCCCCTCTTCGAGGGCGCGGCGAACGCGCTCGTGAGGGGCTTAGTTAAGCTTATGTAATAGTGCAGTGAGGTCTATGAGTGTTTTTGTCCTCGAGCATCTTCTCTATACCAACCCCAAACCTCTTAGAAAATGAAGACCTGCACCCTTTCTCCCACCCAAAAGGCTTCCATCGTTTACATGCACCAAATTGGCATTCCTGGCACTCAAATTGCTAAAAAACTAGGCCATCCCAAGTCTACTGTCTACACGGTCATCTACAATGACCGTAAAAAACGCGTATCAACAACCTCAAAAACACTCGGAAGACCGAAGAAATTCTCAGAACGTGATCAGCGAACTTTGAAGCGAATTTTAAAAAAAAACCGACGCGCTTCAGCTGCCTGGATCGCTAGCAAACTACCAATTAAAGCAAGTCTTCAAACGATCCGATCAGAAATTCGAAGACTTGGGTTTAACTCTCGAGTGGCAGTAGTCAAGCCTTATCTCAAGAGCCAACACATTCTAAGGCGTCTTCAGTTTGCTAAACAGTACAAATATTGGACTTACAATGATTGGAAGAAGGTCATATGGACCAATGAGTCGTCTTTTGAAATAGGAAAGCCTGCAAAGAAGGTTCGGGTGTGGCGTAAGCCCGGTGAAAAATACAACCAAGATTGTTTAGCACCAAGTTTCAAGAGTGGACGAACTTCGGTAATGATCTGGGGCGCATTCACAGCCGAAATTTGCTTGCCAATGACCATAATGCCCCCAGGACGTCGATCTGGACCCGATTTTGTCGATTTGATCTATCGACGCATCATCGAACCATTTATCAGCTCACCTAATTGTCCACGCGATCTTATCTTGATGGAGGATGGAGCCCCGGTACACACAAGTAAAGTGGCAAAAGAATGGAGAGATCAACATTCAATTACAAAGTTAAATTGGCCAGCAAACAGTCCAGACTTGAACCCAATTGAGAACCTCTGGAACATAATGAAAAGGAATGTTTCTGAAAAACATCAGCCTCGCACACCTCAAGAAATGCGTGAAGCCCTGTTTACCGAGTGGAAAGCAATCCCTCAGAGCAAGCTTCAAGCTTTGGTTGAATCCATGCCTGATCGGATCAAGGCTGTGATCAAGGCAAAGGGTAGACACACTCGCTGGTAAAAATTGTTGTATTCTAGAGTCTACATTACAATTACACATCCTGAAATTTGATCATAGATACTCTGACGAGTGGCCATCTAGACCGTGTGCTTTAAGGTATAGAAGTACATGAGATGTTGAGTACAATATGCTTCTTGAGAGTTGCCAAATCGGTCAGTTATAGTACAGGTACGTAGACTTTTTGTCACCGACTGTACACGCAGCCCTTCTCGTCCCATGGAAAAGAGCGCTGGAGCTTAACCTCAACAATAACTTGCTTGTAGATACACTTTGCATCGTTTGTACTCTGCTTTCAGAACATTTCAGTAAACACTGTTCTTACTCCATCTCATCATTGCTAAAAATCATTATTTACAATTCATTAGTCCCTCAACATTTTAAACCATCAATCACAGTCTTCAAATCTCTACACTTTTACTTTCATCAACTCCAGATCTCTTACATTTTCTTTCCAAGCACATTTATCACTCACCTGGCTCCAACCAAGAAGCTCACGATTGACTCATTCATGATGAGAAAGCCTTTCAAGTCAAAGTTGAAAGATATATTTCTTCTATTGGCCATCTCCAATGCGAATTTCTGTGTCAAGGGACACCCTGCTTTTAAAGCTGGCGGATTACATATTATTGACGACATCAAGGGTGTTGACGACATTGTCCAAGGGGGAAACAGTGCGCATATATGACACCTATCTTCAATGTGTCTGATTCTGACCGTGAACTGATCTTCTGCCTAATCATCATTTTATAGTGCACAACAGTCTTCGATTAGCCAATAATGGAGCAAATCAAATCCCAGATGGTAATGAAGCTTTCACCAAGTTTGATACCTCCTTTGATGTGATAGCTTATCTGAATTTTCTTAGGTACAAAACTTGCAACCTCCGCAGATCTTCGCCATCCAAATACTGGCTCCGGGGATGCAAAAATGGTGGAAACTTCCAACACAAATTTAAAGGATCCGGAGAAAAATCCACTCACACCTACCTCAAAAATTGAGCAAACTACAGATTTGGAACCCCTGAAGCTCATCAAGCTGGATCCCTCTATAGGACAACATGTGGTTACGCCTCAGAAGCTGGAATTCCTCAACCCAGCCCAAGTCAGGGAGCTCTCTCATGATGATCTTATCAAATATGTAGCAGAAAGAGATGCAGTTGCAGCAAATGAGGCTAAAAACTTGTATCAACGCGCACAGGAATATACGCAAGCTGAACAAAATGCCTTCTCCATGGCCAAATCTGCGAAGAATCTTAAAAATCGTGTTGACCCGAACCTGGCGAGATTAGAAATGCAGCTATCAGAGCAGGGATTATCCGGAGAAGATCTCATAATCACTCAACGGATAAAGTACATCACATCCAAGTTACAACAACCACATCAATCAGGACGTTCACAAGAAGCCGTGGAAAGACTGCAGGAGGCCCACAGGTCTTATATTCAAGCTTATACCAATATTCAACGTGAATTTCGTCAACTTATTTCAAGGGAATCACTCAGCCCACAAGCCCTCTCAAAGCTTACCGATGAGGATTATGCAAGAAAGGCAGCATTATTTGACAAAGATGTGAATCGGAAGTATGGCCAATGGTTGAATATTGAAGAAACTTTGGATAGACTGGTAAAGGATTCTCTTTCAAGATTGTCTTTTGTATTCAGCCACAGTCGGAAGGAGGGTGATGCAATACTCAAAAAGAAGATTGACTTCATTTCTTCAAAAATGATAGAAAAGGCAAAACGTAAAGGAAAGCCAATCGAGGAAAAAATTATACAAAAGGCTGCTGAAAAGGAAGTCATAAAGAGAGAAGCCAAAAATTATTTAGTTTTTGAAGAAGCCCTGGTGAATCTCAAGTACTTGGAAAAGAGTGGTATGAAAGCTAAGAGTGAGGCTTTAAGAAGTGCTGATAAATTCTATAAAAATAATAGAATTTTGAAATCTTCAGGTAAGGATGGGCCCAAATTTTGTCAAGAAAGTTTTCTGAATAAAGCTAACTAATTTGAACCCCTCACCCCAACTCTGAAAGAGGTGAGATTGAAGCCTTGGTCATTGAAAGATTATCTTAAAAAGATGTTTCCTTAGTTGTCTAGACTTGGAGGAGATGGGCAAAAGACCAACGAAGCGGCTACAACAGTCAAGCCATCAACAGCAGACAGACATTATATGACAGAACCCCTCTGATGCAGTACCAAATCACAATGTTATCAAACCTTTGGAGAAATGTGGGAGGGCAAACACACCTCATATTTAATTTTTATGAGCACCACATGACTTCCAGAGATTGGAAATGGATGTGAGCTGGATCTCATACTCCATTGTGCTTATTAGGATAAAGTTATAACGGTGTTTTACCGTCATCAAGATCTTACAATAGTTTGTAGTACAAATATGAACAGATAAAATTTCTGCTTTATTTCATACTCATCAAAACAGTGTAGTAGTTTATGGGGTATTTGTTCAAACAAGATATGATTCACACTTCTGAGAGATTGAGAAACCTCGAAGAGCTTGCGAGTAGTCAATTATTCAACACTTAAACATCAAAAGAATCCAAAGATGTCACCAGATCATTTTGCTGGGTTAACTGGCTCTCTTCCCTCGATCCCACCTTGGAGCAAGTCATGTCCAGTATTATCCTTGTAAGCTGCGGCCGTAGCATTGTACTTGGCCTGTAGATTCTGAACTTGACTGGCGATTTGAAGCTCCGCTTGTGATTGGCCATCAGTTGAATGAGATGATCCTCCTTTCGCATGTTCTCGTAAATCAAAGCTTGAGTGACCTCGCTCTGCTACTCCGAGTTCAGTGACGATACCACTGATCAAATCATTCGGTGTCACGTCGAAAGCTGGGTTCAAGGCTTGAGTCCCTTCAGGTGTGATTAAAACAGTAGCTACTTCATTAGATCGGCTCGTGGAGCCGGGTTCAGATATTACCTTGCCACGGACAGTACAGGCTTCGATGCTGGGTCGTTCTTCAATCACAATCTCCACTCCACTTTCCATGTTCAAATCAAATGTGGTAAGTGGAGCTGCGATCAAAACTGGAATGCTCTTCGAGGTAGGAGCGGCATGACGACACATCAATGAAATCTGGTAGGTTGAGATCTTATTGGCTGTGTCACCATTGGACGCAATCCTAAAAAAACGTTACGAATAAGTTAAGTATCTATTTCCATCTAGAATGGGGAAATTGAGAATAAATTTGATCTTAAGAAGTAAGATCACCTATCTGCTCCTGCCACAAATGCATCAACGCGCCCGCTGTTGATTAACCATCCAGCCGCAGTATCGCAAACCATAGTTGAAGGAATTTTCAAAGTTTGTAATTCTAAACTTGTAAGTCGAGCACCTTGCATATAAGGACCAGTTTGCATATAATAAGCGTGCTCTAATCGACCGAGTTCGTGTAGAGCAGTGATGACGCCGAGTGCGGTACCGAAGCCAGCAGTAGCTAAAGATCCAGTATTACAGACTGTTAACATTGAGATTTTTCGTTCTGGTCGATCCGATATTCCAAGTTTGTTGATCAACCAACGAGCACCATTATAACCAATCTTCTTGTTACGCTCTAAATCTTCTTCCCAGACCGCTTTACAAACTGCTACAAGTTTTTCAGTAATCTTCTTTGGGTCCCTTTCACCTCCTTGTTCATGAATTTTATGAAATGCTTGTGCAACTCGTAGTAATGCTTCACGTAAATTTACAGCAGTTGGTCTAGCAGAAAGTAAGTGTTGTGATGTTTTTTCAAGATAATTTTGAAGTTTCAAAGTATTTTCTAGAGGATTGTTTTCGTTATTCGTGTTTCCAGTTTTTGTCAATTCGAGATAATTCAAAAGTTCACAAGCAATCGATAAGGCAGCAATAGAACCAATAGCAGGAGCACCACGAATTTTCATTGATTTGATCGCTTCAAATGCTTCATTTGTATTTGAAACTTTACACCATTTTAATTCGTGTGGTAAGATTAATTGATCTATGATTTCGACTGATCGGGTTTCCTCCAAGGATTTGCCATTCGGGATTCGTATTGAGCATAGCATATTGTTTGACTTGATGGAGCTGAGGATAGAGTGAGGCGACTGAAGCGTAAGATGAACGAGAAGGTCCAAGGTCCGACTTGAGGCGGGAAAGCTTTTTGCAGTAACAAGTGTAACGTATGTGAAAGATGACCCTATTCTCGTGAAAGAGAATGTCTCATATCGAGTCGCTTTTTGATGATTCTTGAGCTCCACGATTCTTGTCAAGAGCCTCGGCCGGCCTGCCTGGGCACATGCTGATCTAGATGTGCAAAATTTCAAAAAATATGTTGAATGAGCGCACGGGAGCAGGGGGGAGGCGCAAAATCAAAAATATGAGAAAAGCTGTTACTCTTTTCTGTATCAGCGTTATCAAGTCGACAGACTGATCACAGAACATTCTCATCATGAACATTCTCCTCATGGCTAACAGAGGTTCCAACCTTTCAACGCTGGTTATAAGACGTGAGGAGCTTGTTACAGATATCACAAACTGAGGTTCTTCCTTGTTCTAATCAACCAATATCATTGGCAACAGGTTAGAAAAGTGTGACTCAGAGTGACTGACATGAGCAAACAATCAACGGTCTGCATGAGACAATATCTTATCAAGAATAGTATTCCAGATTTCGGGGACGATATAGAAACAAGAGTAGCAGGGGCACTTCCTCATTAATAAAAAGTTTTAGAAAGAAATGATCCAAGATATTGATGCTCAGTATATAGCACTCTTGTAAAGCATCACAAGAAAAATTGAAATTTCAAAACAGCAAAAGACAACCAAGATAGACGAGGGAAATACACAGATTGGACAAAAAAAGATGCAGAGAGAAATATATGGGTGATTAACATCAAGAATCGCCATATCACTCAATTTATCAATTTCAAGCAAGTCATCTAGTATTTTCACTTACCATCAGGAAATGATAAACAATTTGCATTTTAAGCCCCTTTCATGGTCATCTCTTTCTAAGTGCACACAAGAGACGGAGGTATGTTATTCAATGCATTGCTTAAAGTGTCATTAGAGCCATAAGGCTATTAAACACTACATGTTTTCCAGCACTGGTAAAACCCCTCTGGCTGTCTCAGGGCAAAGGTTGCTGTTGGCTGTTTTGACTATTATACATTTATGTTATATCTCTATGACAATAGGGATCAAATGGGATCCTTGATCTCACATAGCAATCACCTCCGTTTTGGGTTGGGTTTGGAGTTTGTGCCGCTGTGTAGAGCCTTTGCCATATGAAGTAAATTTCAAGTAAGGTCAGCAGGTTGTCTGTCAGGACTGGGCTTGTATCTTGTGGTGCATCTCAGTTATGTGAATACTTTCTGTGCTTTTCCTTGAAGGCATTGGTGAAGCCCAATATAAACTTTGAACTAGGTTTAACAACTGCAAGCACAAGTCTCCTGCTTTCAGATCGTCTTTTTTGAATTGTGGTCGTGTTGCTGCATGGCATTGGCCTCAGTCTTCAGACACCTTTCCAAAGAAATATCAATCAAATCTTTACATCCAATTGGGAACACCTCTGGCAGATGTTTTTTTAAAGTGCATGTAAGCATAATTGCATACAACACTATCAGATATTCTAGATGAAGAGACATTATGCCTTGGAAGGACAGCCATTGAGTCAGAAAATTTTGTTTGGGCAACTTATGGATGCACATTTTCTCCCTTTTTTCCCAAAGGATTATCTATTCTGTAATGATAAGCAGAGGTATCATCAGAGGAACATTTTGTTCTTGACAGAGAGACCTTTGGATGTCTTGACTATCTATATTAGATAGTCAAACCCTGTGGCAGGATTGAACATCAGAATTAGAATTTTTTCTTCTTTTTTTCAAAAGTATCATCAGAGGAATGGGTTGGCCATCACTGAGGGACTTTAGGATGTCTCAGCACCGCCAACAAAGATGCCTTGGATTGGCAAATCCCAAGGTATCCTTGGATGGCAGTAGCCTTGGACACACAGTCCTAGGGAATGTATACCCAAGAATAACTTGTATTTTACAATCCGAGGTATCTTTACCAGCAGTGCAGGCAAAGACCCCCCTCATCCAATCTGAAGGATAAATGATACATTTTTGAATCTGATGAGGAGCGCCTCCAGCAGAACTTTCTGACAAACATATCAGACATGCCCTTCAATTTTCAAAACCTTACACCACATGAAATTCGCCTCCCTCAAAAGAAACCAACTTCAAATCTGTTCCTGATGCTGTTCCAGTAAGGCCTGGCCCTACAACATTCAATTGAGAATCAACTTTTTTACTTGTCAATCATAGTAGTGATCTATTTCCAGCCATTCATTCCAAAGAAGACAAAAAATATGTGAGAGTTAGAATATGTTTTCAGGAGACCATTGTGTTATCAAGGAAATTTACCAAACTCACACTTGATTTTGTGACAGCCTGAGCGCGATGGGTACTTAATACATAGGCAAACCTCAGGGTTGAGGTTTTACAGAGAAAAATGCTAGAAGACTTACTTCAAATCTTGAGCTTGTGTGTGTAAATTTACTTGAATGCTTCTCATGTTGGTAATGTCAACCCCATCAAGAATGTCAAAGATTGGCTTTACTTTATGGAAAAGACATGTCAATTCTCATATGAGAGATCCATTAATTGTTACAACTCACATTGGGTAGCAAACCTTGAATCTGGTAAGTGAAAAATTGAAAACAGAATATTCAATTTGAGTTGATCAAGACTATGGAAGGCAAGTACCGACACAAAGGATTCATACTCTGTTTTCTAATAATCATGGAAAAGGTCCTTCACTCAAAAAAACACCCCGGTCAATCCCTTGCTACAGGCCAGCGGGGATTTGCCTCTGGCCCACCTAGCCTTAGCATTTTATATTCTCTTTGTCCTTCACCACGGTCCCATGTTCTTGAGCTCAGGGAGACCTCTCCAGCCATAAAAAACCTCTGAAGAGGATTCCTTCACCTAGAAAGAGTTACAATCCAGTTCTGTCATTTCAGCTGTTCTTATGGGTTTTGAAAAGATATAAAGTGGGGTGGAAGACTTTCCCAATACTTTATGCTATTTCACATACATTCTTGTTTGTCAAATGTTTGCAAAAAAATTGTGTGTAAAAAGTTGAGGGAAACACAGGCCACCAACATCCAATGATTGATCTTTTGGTCAATATTTTCCACACTTTGTACTCTGTAAAATATAATGACCGTAAAAGTACATCAAGGGGGCTTAGGTCAAGATTTTCATGGTCTTTTGTTAGAAAACCGGGGAAACTTTCTATGGTATTAGTAATCAAGTACCATGATTTTTTTTCCTGTTTTGTAAAATCAGACAGTGGTTAACAGTGTTCTCTTTTGTGGGTGTTTGCTGATTATTATATCAGTCTTGACATTTTTCTTTGCTTTTTCACCTCACATTGTTTGTCTAGTTTTCTTTGTTTTAAAGACATCTAAGCTGTGTGGGAAACACGGTATCAATGACATGAGGATGAGAGCTGCTAGTGGTTGCATGTACAATTGTGATCCCAGTTTTGTGGTAGGGCCACCTGATATCTTGTACTTTGATAAAAGAAAAGTTGAAAGACTGTGAATGGTTCACAAAAGTGGTTGAGTAATAGATGGTAAACAATCAATGTTGTTGACTAATAGACATCTATAAATTTGCTTTGAGAACCTGGGTACACTTGTTGTTATCTAACAGAAAATGAAAGTATTTTTATGAAATAAAAGGTTCATGAGGATATCCAAGCTGAATTCCTGTGTAAGCTCTGCACAATGAGCTGAAATTGGCTTTAGTGGGGAATCAAGCCTTGAGGTTCTTCTACATGGTAGATTTCAGGACTGTCTACATAAGGGGATTCAGCTAACCCTTCCCAATCAAACCTCAATTTTGCAGATAGTATGTCCCCAGACAAAGTTATATAATCATCTTTAAGTGGAATTCCAAACCGGCCAATTCCATGTTGTTCAGGTGTAGCAGTCAACACAGTATCCCCATTTTGTGCAGAGTGATCAAAGGCTTCTATTTTGCAATGGCTGCCAGGTGTAGTGAAATGAAGGAAACACGGAACCCGGGACCCC